ATTTATTTGGAAAAAGTATATTACAAGTATTTAAAATCAATGTACACTACAGTGTACGCCATGTTGGAAAGGGTTAACGAGATATTACTTACATATTACTTAGATATTACTTTCTGAAAAACGTGTAATACTCGTGAAAAACATTTTAACAGTTTTGTTACTTCTAGCGTGTATTATACAGTGGCGGAGCGAGACCTAAAGAGGACGGATTTTATATAGATACGGAAAAAAATTACTGTAAAATATGTATTCATAAAAATGCAAACAACTTCATTTCAACTAACATTATTAAGTAATAACTGAGAGTAAAGGAAACAAAAATTTCCTTCTTTTAGCCTAGGGTGACTATATTTATTTCGTTTGACTCAATGTTGAACGCAGAACAAGAATATAACATTGACGAACTTTGGAGAGGTGAGGACTTTTTTACCTCCCCAAAGATAAATAAAAAAACTTTGTTAGATCTCCAAAGATAAATACAATATATACAAAAACAGAGAACTCACGTATTATGTTTTTGTCTTATTTGTTACGTTTCAGTAAATTATGTATTACATTGCTGAACAATAATGGCGTTTTGCTGGACAAATACGGCGGTTTGCTGTACAATATCAAATGCTGAACAGACTTTGAAAATGCTGTACAATACACCGAGATATTGTATGGTCACTTTATTTCAGCCTTACTGATCTTAATAACTATCCTAATTCAATTTAGATATGCTGTATCTGTTTTAATCGATAAATATGCAAAAGCCGAAAGTCTTTGCTGACATATGTAGTTCTTCAATAATTTTTATTAGTTTTAATTTTGAAAAGCTTCCTTCAGCGGTGGCTGTATGATATTAACACACGATAATAGCTCATACCATAAATGTAATATAATAAATTCCAAGCTGAGCAATTCGTTCAAAACCAAATAACAATCACTTAGTTTATCTGAGTCTTCCATGATTAAACATTCAATGTATTCAACAACATAATCAAATTGCAATAATATAAGCCGCACTGCCTCGAATCTGCTTAATCACCGTGTGTCTGGTGAAGGCTTTACAGTAAGCTTTAATTTGTCTTTGAATAATAGCCATATTTTGCTGGTTCTTGAAAATAGCAAATATATTTTATGAATAAGACCAAATATGTTATTGCTGCCGCAGAAGAATTATCTGCTTTTCTACGAACAGCAGATTTTAATTGGGACTCTAGTGGTCACGTCTTTTAATAGCCCTAGCTAAATATTTTCATAAGTTAAAGAAAGCTGCATAAACTTTTGAGACGCGAGGTCCTTCGGACCGCGAGGCCATAGGAGGTGGCCCACGTCGCCCATGCCTTTCGTCGCTTCTGGTATTATATTGAATATTCTTTGTAGCGAAAAAATGTAGGCCCTAAAAGGCCTAAATAAGGTATATAGGGACTTTAGGGATTAGAGCAGCATGGGATCGGTCAAAAATGGCTCGCATGACAGTATAATTTATAAATAAAGGGGATAGAACCTAAAATATTAGTTGCTCACTTTTTCCGGCTATTTAAATACCCACAAAAACTATAAACTTTGGCATATTGATGATTAGGGAAAATTATAAACTAACCACTAACCACTAACAAATTATACTTAAAACATGCTTTAGGTATCAAATTCTAATTCACATAAGTTTGCACACCGACGGTCTGGAAGAGACAACCTGTTATTCAAAATCGTCCAAGTAATTTTGACAATTATTCACTTTAAACTTATTGTTATTTTTTGATGGTGCGTTAATTTATTGGGGAAGTGTATAATACAGAAATGTTTGAATTAATTTTAGTTTTATATATAAACAGGGTGTTTTGTAATATATGCGTAGGACTTCAGGACGTGATAGCTCGTCCAAAAATATGAAAAAAACGTTTCTATTAACTTACCCTCTAAAATGCACCATTTTCGAGATACAGAGTGTAGAAATAAAAAAAAAAAATCTATGCCACTGGAAAAAGTACGGTTTTGAGACGCCCATTTGAACCGCTAATGTTTTCTACACAAAAAAGGTACTCTTGGTCATATGCTCTAAAGTCGACCGTTTTCGAAAAAAATCAATTTTTTTTTATCAAGTATGTATGACCATGTATTTCAACACCTCCAAATCGAGGGTCAAATCCACTCAACCCCCAACGAAAAAGCCTTAGCCCACAAAACCAACCTTGAAGCCACCTTCAGAACACCCGACAACCCCCACTTTGATGAACAATTCAAACACGAGATCGAACAATACGTCCTTCAGACACTCGCCGCCCCAGTCCCATCTATGGATGTCGAAAACCCCCTCACCTCCCCATTCACCCTCCAAGACATCCAATATGCTTGCCAAGCAGGCAAAAACACGGCCTCTGGGCCAGATTCCATTCACAGGAGAACGCTGAAGCATCTTCCTGAAACCATCTTTCCCATCCTCACTCTTATCCTAAACTCCTGCCTCTCCCTATCCTATTTTGCCTGAAAATCCGCCATTTTGATCCACAAACCAGGCAAAAATCCCGTAAATTCATACAGACCCATCTCTCTCATATCAGTCGTACGGAAACTCCTCAAGCTCCTGCTCAAGAAAAGAATCTGGGAATTTTTTGAAGAAAGAAATATTATACCTCAATCCCAAGATTGTTTCAGACCCCACCACTCCACTCAGGACGCAATCTCCTCCCTTCACTTACTACGGTCACAGCAGTAAACTCTCAACAAATCTCTTCAGCCGTTCTCTTAGATGTTCAACAAGTCTTCGACCAAGTCTGGCATGCCGGACTAGTCAAAAAGCTTATGAACATAGGTCTCCCCCCCAAATCTCCAAACTCATACACTCCTACCGCTCAGATAGAAAAATCATTGTCAAATTGGGCAACTCCCTATCAGACACATTCATCCCACTCGCAGGTGTTCCACAGGGCTCCGTCCTGGCTCCTCTCCTCTACCTCATCTACACCCATGACACCCCCCGAACCACCCTACATCCAAATGCCTCCTATACGCCGACGATACAGCTCTAATCTCGGTAGCCAAAAATTTTAACCAACTAAATACTCGAACTCAAAATATGTTGAACCAGTACTCTCACTGGTGTAGCAGTTAGAGGGTCTCATTAAATCCACAAAAAACACAATTTATCGTCTTTAAACACCCAAATTCCCAAAGAACCTCTCAGAACCCCCAACTCGTAAATGTTAATCTCCTGAGAGTCAGGCTTGCTCAAAAGACTGATGTTGACTATTTGGGGGTATGATTTTCTCGTACACTTGCGAAAACGAGCCAGACTCCTTGGGGCTTTGTGCGGACGAAGGGGGCGTTGCAACACAAACACCCTTATTCACACATACAACTCCTTCATCCGACCCGTTGTCGAATACAGAGCTGTACTCTACGGAGTACTTTCCACACACCTGTCCCACAAATTTATCACACTCGTGAGACGTATTTTTAGACGTTGCCAATATCTCCCCTCTCGCTCTCCCAGTGGAGAACTTTTCAAAAACATATCCTCACACGTTTACAAAACCTCAGGAAACAATACATCTCTCGCACGCTGAAAGGCACCAACACACACTCTCAAGACACTCTTCGAACCCCATGGCGCCCTAACCAACTTCCACTTTTTTGAAAACCGAAAAGAAAAATGCCACAACCTAATCTGAAATTTTTCTCAGACTACCTCCCCCTCACCGTTGAACTACAGGATCTGCTGGAATCAGCCCCCCTAAGTATTAAATAAACCCTTCCCAATCATATAATTAGAAATTCACAATATATGTACAATATCGTGATTTAGGTTCTGTGGTTTTCCTAAATCATATTCCCCACTCTATACTTGGACTTGTTTATCTATGGGGTTGGAAATAGCAAAATTGGCGATATTTTTGGAAAACACAACCTGCCACACAGGTCCCACACGCGCACACGACACCATTAGGAAATAGCTAGCTAGGTTACTTTTGTAATCAGGGCAGACCACTCTGAAAACGAGGATAACTCCTATAGCAGGGAAATATGAAAATCAAATGTCCTAGGAAAATGTAAAAACACTCATGAAAGTCAAGATTTTCTTAACGAGTAGTGAGATTTGTAAGGTATAACAACTGGAGCAGCGTTTAAGGACTAAAATTTGTAGATAGGGGTGATTGAATATTGTTTTATTATTTTCATTTCTCTGATTTGTATGTGATATTATTATTATTTTTCTTCTATGCAATTCTATATTTTTCAATACTTTATTCTGGAAACTTACTTATCTCGAGTGTGGATAGGTGTGTGTGCTTGAATAGAATACCTACTTAGTTCCATTATTAATTTTGGAAGGCTAGTGCCTATTTTTGAAAACTTTATTTAAAACTATTGAGCACTGTTAAAATGTGGCGTCCTTGGTACGACAATAATACTCAAGAAGCTGAAAAACCAATAAACGATATAGACGAAGATTCTGACCATTTAGAAGATTTGAAAGAGAAGCATGTGAAAATAAAGAGAAATAAATATTAGATAAATTAAATACCTATTAAAATGTCTAACAAATACACAAAAGTGAAGTAAAAATACTACATTTTAGATTAATACTTATTAAAAACACACGATTTTTATCAATACACCTTTACTAAATTAACCTAACAAAAATAACAATAATATAAAGATATGACTCCGCACTTGTACTTAAGCGAAAATTGTCTTATCTGTATATTGATTTATGGTTTTAGATAGTAGGTAAATAAACCCTCTTAAAATGACCAAAATACGTTTCGTTTTGATTAAACAATATACTATTTCGGTATTTTGACCAATTTGGCGTATGGAAATATTTTTAAATAAACCGAAACAATGATGAAACGAACTCATCTACCCGAATTGGATGTATTGTGACCAAATCAACAGAACGCCAATGTAATTAAAACGTTACAAAAAATCGGTAATACATGGCCAAACGTTGAATGTGGCCGAATTCGGTTCTACTTTGACCGTAGCCTAAAGCAAATATTTTTTATTTTTAGGGACCAGATAAAGACCAAATCATTCAAGGATTGTATGCCTGCGGTGAATGCGCTTGTGTTTCAGTACACGGCGCAAATAGGCTAGGAGCAAATTCACTTTTAGAAACCGTGGTTTTCGGCAAAGCTGTAGCTGATTGCATTAATAAGATTAGTCGTCCTGGATCAGATGTTTCTATAGATGAGGTAAACATTAATAGTAAGATATTTTGAAAACATCGTATAATATTTTTAACGATCATTATTTTTAATTTTTTTAAATAATATTAAAAACCCTAGGGTGTAAAGATACAATATAATATTACTTATTTAATATATCACTAAGGGGTCTGTTCTGTAATGTTTTAGTTAATTTTTATTACCAGGATAGATATATTTTGACCCAAATGTCTAATATTTATTCCATCGGTTTAAGTTTTTGGTATTAGTTATTTTTATAACCAGCCCCGGTTAAAATAGACTGGCAACCAGAGTTGGGTCGAATACAGGAAAAAAGTATCCGAGTACCAGATACGGATACTTACAATGTATCCGGATACTTTTTCAAAAGTACGGACTTATTCACCTAAAAACGTATTCGGATACAAGTATCCGGATACTTCTAAGATACTTCTAAGGATACTTCTAAGGATACTTCTAAGGATACTTCTTAGGATACTTTTAAAGTAAGTTAAAATAATATTTTTATACCAATAGCCAAAGTTTATGAATACGAGTAACAATACTATACATGTATTTACATGTATGTACTGGCAAGGTCAAACCTTCAGTCGTGCTTTGCTTGTATTGGGACTTAATATTAAATAACGTTCGCACATGCAAGAAAAGAAACGATACATTATCAATGGTTCCTTTTACAGTTACAGTCACGGGTCGGTAAGCTGGCACCGATCGGTAACTGGCAACGTCGATACCATATTATCTCCTCTCCTGTACATGTAAATACCATTTACTATTCAATCCAACACAAACAAAGCGAAAATATAATAGAAACGGAAAACAAAAAGTACTCAAAAAAGTTTTTTGTCTTAACCATAGTTTCAAACGAGTTGTTGAAATGTTCGAATAATAAAAGTTCGAACTAGAAAATTTTAATAAAACAATGAAAACAATAGTTTTTTTGCGTAGACGTATGTGTCATTCAGCCAACAAAATTTTTCTAAAGAGAAGATATTAACTAAGGAAAGAAATACAACAAAAAGAAAACTGTAAAAATTCAGATGACAAAACTTAGAAAATACCAAAGTTTGATGGACAAAACTTCGAATATGCAAAAGTTAGAATGATAAAACTTCGAAACTGAAAAAATTTGAAATGGAAAGGGGCGAAGTGAGAAAATTTCGACACTAAAAAAGATGGAAATTAGAACAAAAGATCTAAATCGCATATGATCGAAATAATATATGTTTAAAACGACTAATGATCTAAATAAAACATTGTATTACGAAATTGGTAAAAGTTTGTTGTTTGTTTTATCATTCTTTTTTAATTTTTGTTTCATTTTTTTATTGCTTTTTTGTTTCATTTTATGTAGATATAATTTTTTTTATGAAACAACCGCGATAACTTTAACTAATTTACCTAACGCGGCCTGGAGCCAGCCAGCCAGCGAGCCAGCGTGGTTTGCTTGGTAAAAAAATATATTTACATAAAATAGGAAGAATTAAAAAAACTTATTTACTAATTTCGTAATATAATGCTTTCGATCTTATGCCATTTCGATCATATGTCATATTGATCATATGCAATTTCGATCATATATTTACCATTTCGTTTATTGATACATTCAAACAAATCAAATACGATCGAAAAATATCTGATTTTAATAATTTTGTAATTTTGATCATATGCGATTTCGATCATTTATTTGGATTTTCTTTTTTTTTTGTTTTCGATCATCTCTTACTTTCGAACTTTTGTTATTCGAACTTTTGTAGATTCTCATCTCAGACATACATGAGTTAAAAACTTCCACACATGATCGTGGTCTCAGTAGTAGACAAGACTTTGCAGGCCTTTTCTCTTATAAACTTAAAAATTAATAAAAATAATTGTTTTCGTGATATTTTTTAGAGTGTACCAAAAGAAAACTACAAATCATAATAAACTATCTTTTACTATTTATCATTTAGGTATTCGATTTGTATCTGAAATATTGTAATATTGAAAAAATAATTATTTAATTTTCAAACGGTAAATAAAAAATAATTCAATTCTAATTAATAAAGATAATATGGACTGGATATAAAAATTTTGAAATGGCTATATAAAAACAAAGCTAAATGATCAGTGATTATCGTGGGCTTACAAGCAAAAGGCACTAAGTCAAAAATTTGTCAAAATGGGTTTATATTTTAATATATCCTCTAAATATCTGGAAAATACCGCGTCAATGATGGTCCCATATTTTGTTGTGTATTCTTGTGGATTATTATTCATTTTCAAATTCAATTTTTCCGAAATTGTGTCTAGAAGAGATAGAATCAGTTATGAGTAGTTAGCAGCTAGTCTACACGTCTAGTCGCACGCACACAAACACCGTGCCGAAGTCTGCCGAACTGAAACGATGTTAACCGATGCACGGCTTTCAACGCCACACCGCTGTGTCGGTCGGAGTAAGGGGTGTTTGGTTTATTTTCGTTACGGAATTTCTTTTTCGATTTTTCAATTTTTCGATTTTTCGATTTTGCGATTTTGCGATTTTGCGATTTTGCGATTTTTGCGATTTTTCGATTTTTCGATTTTTCGATTTTTCGATTTTTCGATTTTTCGATTTTTCGATTTTTCGATTTTTCGATTTTTCAATTTTTCGATTTTTTGATTTTTCGATTTTTCGATTTTTCGATTTTTCGATTTTTTGATTTTTCGATTTTTCGATTTTTCGATTTTTCGATTTTTCGATTTTTCGATTTTTAGATTTTTCGATTTTTTTTCGATTTTTCGATTTTTCGATTTTTCGATTTTTTTTCGATTTTTTTTCGATTTTTCGATTTTTTTTCGATTTTTCGATTTTTTGATTTTTCGATTTTTCGATTTATCGATTTTTCGATTTATCGATTTTTCGATTTATCGATTTTTCGATTTTTCGATTTTTTTTCGATTTTTCGATTTTTCGATTTTTCGATTTTTCGATTTTTCGATTTTTCGATTTTTCGATTTTTCGATTTTTCGATTTTTCGATTTTTCGATTTTTCGATTTTTCGATTTTTCGATTTTTCGATTTTTCGATTTTTCGATTTTTCGATTTTTCGATTTTTCGATTTTTCGATTTTTCGATTTTTCGATTTTTCGATTTTTCGATTTTTCGATTTTTCGATTTTTCGATTTTTCGATTTTTCGATTTTTCGATTTTTCGATTTTTCGATTTTTCGAATTTTCGATTTTTCGATTTTTCGATTTTTCGATTTTTCGATTTTTCGATTTTTTGATTTTTCGATTTTTCGATTTTTCGATTTTTCGATTTTTCGATTTTTCGATTTTTCGATTTTTCGATTTTTCGATTTTTCGATTTTTCGATTTTACGATTTTTCGATTTTTCGATTTTTCGATTTTTCGATTTTTCGATTTTTCGATTTTTCGATTTTTCGATTTTTCGATTTTTCGATTTTTCGATTTTTCGATTTTTCGATTTTTCGATTTTTCGATATTTCGATATTTCGATTTTTCGATTTTTCGATTTTTCGATTTTTCGATTTTTCGATTTTTCGATTTTTCGATTTTTCGATTTTTCGATTTTTCGATTTTTCGATTTTTCGATTTTTCGATTTTTCGATTTTTCGATTTTTCGATTTTTCGATTTTTCGATTTTTCGATTTTTCGATTTTTCGATTTTTCGATTTTTCGATTTTTCGATTTTTCGATTTTTCGATTTTTCGATTTTTCGATTTTTCGATTTTTCAATTTTTCGATTTTTCGATTTTTCGATTTTTCGATTTTTCGATTTTTCGATTTTTCGATTTTTCGATTTTTCGATTTTTCGATTTTTCGATTTTTCGATTTTTCGATTTTTCGATTTTTCGATTTTTCGATTTTTCGATTTTTCGATTTTTCGATTTTTCGATTTTTCGGTTTTTCGATTTTTCGATTTTTCGATTTTTCGATTTTTCGATTTTTCGATTTTTCGATTTTTCGATTTTTCGATTTTTCGATTTTTCGATTTTTCGATTTTTCGAATTTTCGATTTTTCGATTTTTCGATTTTTCGATTTTCTTTTATTGAATAAATGAGAAGTTAATATTGTTCAACGCCGCACCGCTGTGCCGGTCGTAGTGGGGGGTGTTAGGTTTTTTTTGTTACATGTTACGGAATTTCTTGATTTGGTCGCCGCGCTCAAAGCCCGCGATAAAAGCTACGCAATAGCTTAAAAGTTAATATCTAATATTTACGCCAGCCGGGAACATTTGTGATATCAATTTGTTAGAAGCCAGAGAAAGCTCTTCTAGTTTTTTGTATTGCTTAAACGTTCCAGTCCGTAGACGTATATTTAACTCTGCTTCATACTAATACGATAAGGGTCGGATAAAACCTTCCACGGCTTTTAAAACGCCGCACCGCTGTGCCGGTCAGAGTTACGGAATTACGAAATTTCTTGATTCGGTCGCCACGCTCAAAGCCCACGATAAAAGCTATGCAATAGCTTAAAAATTAGAACTTTAAATTATTTTATTTAAATTATTTATAACTCATAAATCTATTTTTTTAACTTTAATGCCTTTTACTTGTAAGCCCACGTTATTGTGGCATATGTGATTTGAGATACATTTGTATAATAATCTAAAAGTATCCGAACAACGATAAATTATCCTGTATCTGCATATTTACAAATTTAACCACGGATGAGGGATACAAAATTTAAAAAACCGAATACAGCTTTCGGATGCATACTGTATCCAAATACTATATCCGGATACAGAACTATCCAAATACTATATCCGGATACAGAAGTATCCAAATACTATATCTAGATACAGAACTTTCCGAATACTACATCCGGATACAGAAGTATCCAAATACTATATCCGGATACAGAAGTATCCAAATACTATATCCGGATACAGAAGTATCCGGATACTATCCAACTCTGCTGGCAACGATCTAATATATCTGACAATGCAAAAAGGGAAAAGCAACCAATAATATAAAAATTTGCAATGCTATTCAAAAAAATGAGCAATCAATAAAATCGA